AGGGGCGGTGGGGGGGGGGCGGCGCCTTCGGGGGCGCACTCTCGCTGGGCGGGCGCGGGCTGTCAATGGCCGCGCGCGGGGGCAGAAGGGAAATGGAATTCGATTCATGAAGGCGTCGCGCCTCTGGTGTGGTTTCGACGGGCTGGGAGCCGCCGAGATGAAAGGGATAGTGCGCGAGATCGAGGAGGGCAGTGGGCAGGTTTGAGCTCTTTCTAGGGAGTGATGGGCACTGCATTAATTCGTCTCACTGCCGTGCCTCTCCACCGGAAGGTCCTAGGTTCGAGCCCCGACAGTGAACAGTTTTCGGCACTAACTTGGTCAATGTCAGTCGCTGTCTGGAGGAGAATAGCGGCTAGCTGCTCTGTTCACCAGTTTTATGTGGTACGATCAACATAGGAGCTTAGCGCTTGTCCCGGCTGAGGTGCTGCCACGCTGGGGAGAGATACCTGGGAGGGAAATAAGGGAAATCCTGATAGCCGACGGGAAGGTCACTGCCTGATCTCACCGCCCAACCGGGGAAGATCACCACCAGCAGTACCACCTCCCGAGGAAAAAGCATGCACTGCATTTACGGGACCTCGTGTCTGGTGCGCCCGGAATCACTATTAACCAACCAACCAATCAATACACCCATTTTTTGTAGTTAAAGTCAAATTATAGCTCAATCCTCTACTTTTAGAATAGAGGTGGCTTGTGACTTCATGAGCTGGTAGATCACAAAGCTAAGCTTCGGTGGTTCACAAAATATGTAGCGATATGGACCAGTGTCTCTCTGAACGAACCCCGTCGAGCATGGAATAATTGAGGACCAGAACTCTCTGCTGCGTATTCTTGAAAGCGGTCATGATCTCCCTCTATTAGACGGGACCAGTGGCGCTCTCCTGTGCAAAAACCGTATAGAGTTTGTTTCTCAAAACTTTGAACTTCACTTACCTTAGTACTTACCCAGTAAAGACATATTAGTATGTTTTACGTCTGTATTGTAATTCTGCGGTAAAAAATCTGTATTGTAATTCTGCTGTTTAAAAACTATGTTTTACCTATATTTTGACTCTACATCTGGTATAAAAATGTGGATAAATATTGTTCCTGTATGTTGTAAATTACTTCCTCTACACGTCGTAATGTCAGAATCCTCCTTGGCAGTGACAAATCGAGTGACGTCAAAATATTTCTCAGTGCATGGTCAACGCTAGCGCCGAAACTGCTCAGACGATTTTTTTTCAAAATTGATATTCCTCAATATATTTAAAGGAAGGGATATTTTGATTTGAGGGCTTCTTTACAAGAAGTCTTCAAAAATTTCGAAATTTGTTCAAAGTCTTTTTGATACTAGCTACGTAGCTAGGTTGAATACAGCCGCTAGTTGTTAAAAATCCTGCAAACCGATGTATAGGTCAGCGCTAAATGTCACCATCAACCAGGGAGAAGATTACCGTCACATCTCGCGATAATCATGCACTACACTTCCGGTAATAATGAAATTAGCTGTTGGTGCACCCAGAATCACCAGTCAATCAATCAAACAATTGGAAAATCTCGCGAAACGTGAAAACTAAAGATTGATTGATTGATTGTTAGTGACGCCGGGCGCGTGAACTGCTAAGTTCATTGGTACTGTAAGTATAGTGTGTGTTTTCCTCGATGAGTGGCAGAGGTCTTCCACCGCCGGATGGTGATATTCTCTAACCTCCCGACCGTTCTTCCGGCATGTGTGGTAGTGTAGGGCATGTTAGTGTAAGTAAGGGGTGAGAATAAGACAAGGAAGAGGGAGGAAAGATCGCGCGCGTTCCGTGGCCCGTTTGTTAGGTTGCTGCTCCGGCATTTGCCTGATATTTCCCGGAGAAAGCACGGAAAGCAACCGATCAGACAGCCGGCCGCTAGAATTCTCCTCCAGCTAGCGGCTGAATCCGACCTCTCTAGCTAGAATCGAAACTCCTGCCACAGTCGAGACTCGACCCCGAGGACCTCCCGGTCAGAGGCACTGCAGTGACGGCATCAGTTGATGCCCTGAGCCACCTCTCAGTGGAAACTAAAGAGTTCCCGTCCGCCGCGCGGGAGACTAAAAGCGCGCCTCCGTCTGCCATCGAGGCGCGGAGGTTGGCAGGGGCGGGCGCGCGCCTGTGCGTCTGCGTGCGCGTGCGAGCGCGTGTCCGGCGCGGCAGTGACCTCCGCGGGCCGCGGCCCACATAGCGTCCACGGCGAAAGCGCCCGCGCGTGCCTCCGTCTGCCGCCGCCGCCGCCGCCACGCGGGGACGGAGTGGGTGGCTCAAGGCAAGAGTTCGAATCTCGTTGGTGGCGAGATTTTCCACGCCCGCTACTCAGTTAGGTGGAGGAGAGAGGGGACAACGACGAGGAAGGAAATATTACAGTCTGAGCCATGCGTGGATTACTATGCTACAGAAATGCTTGTTCCACCAGGAGGCACAGGTTTCCAGGGTAGGCACCCATAGCGCATTGTCTTCATCTGTACTCTCCGCCGCAGCACAAGTACGTCGACAGACTGGTATCCGGATCCCGCTGGAACGCAGTTTGCCCTCACGGTAACCTCCCGATGCAATGCCTACGTTGAGCTGCCCTGCCAAATCAGAGCAACTAACTATCCAGGCTAGTAACTTAGACCAAACAATGCGCCACGCACGTGGGCCGGGAAAAAGTCCTTAGTCTTTGCCCAGAATGTCGTGCCACCTCCACGAAGCCAAGAGCCCATCAGACAGCCGCGCCAACTAAAGTCCGGGCGGCTCAGGGCCCCCTTTCCGTCTCCTCAATGCCTTCACTTTGAGGCTATTGACATGAGTACCGCCAGAACCTTGGCAATCTGACTGGGTATCTGGTATTTAGGGTATGTGAGGTATCTGGTCCCCGTCGGACTTCTGTAAGTGGGATCCGGAGCATTCCGAAGAACCTTCTTCGCCCAATCGTACCCAAAGCACGATGCGGCGGGGGCTAAATAGGGTTTTATCGGGCAAGGCCCGGCAACACGGAGCTTAGCATTGCCTCCTCACTGCCTCCACTTCGAAGCTAACTGCGTGAGTGTCACCGAGAAACTCGGGATGCGATTGGTCATCTGCAACTCCACCAGAAATCGCGTCCACCTACGTAGACGCGATTCCTCCATGCGGGAGTATCACGCACAGTTCGTGATCCACTTGTCACAGTACTGCTTCGGCATTCCCCTCAAGTTGATAGGAAACTACGGAAAAATTCAGAGCAGTTCATCCGCTTGCTAGGATTCCTCCTTTAGATAGTGGCTGAATTCGGCCTAGCTCTCTAACTAGGAATCATGTATCAATGCCCTTCTGGTACGTAGAGAATGCCAATTGTGATTCCTAGAGAATACCAGCTGAATAAATGTCAAAATTACAGGTAAAGGTTTACAGTTAGCAATGGGCGCACACGGTTGGGATCACAAACAATTAATCATCGAGATCGCGTGTAGGAACCTTCATCGCTAAAGCTATTGGCTCATAGAAAATCGTGTAAAGTAAACCACGCTGGATTAATGTTTTGAATAGTATATCAATTAGGACGACATCACGAAATTTATTTTTTATTTCGTCCACATACTTATTATCCGCAATGACATCTTTGGATCTATTAAATAAAAATTAACATTGTGTAAACTTTTTCGTGACAGTATAAATAAAAAACTAGTAATAAATTATATTAATTGAATTTCGCTCTTGTATCCAAAGGTCTTTTCATGTTTCAGATAAAATCTTAATAGAAAGGAGATAGTAACTTACTGCGACCACTGAAAATACCTAGTGTTGTGACCAGAAAAAATCATAATACAACGAGTGAATGCACGAGAAGAGAATATAATTATATGTTTAATATTGTGTGTAAAAAAGTTTACAAGAATAGATAATAAATGGTTTTAAAATAACAGTATCAGGCGAGTATTTGGCGGTTTAAAAAATGTATATTAAAACAATCCTCTGAATACATTCGAGCAAAAATGTAGAATAGATTTCATAAAATAAATTCCTGATAGTGTTGAATTTTATTCGCCTTCTTGTCCTGGACATTTACCTTTATTTATGTCGATCATTTCTGAAACATAAAAAAATGAATTAAAATATGAAATTGTTCATCAAATCACACTCTGTTATAAACACTCGATCTTTTTGAAGTTATTATAAGTTTGACAATATTAATAGAAATACATCATGGTATTAAAATTCACAAAATTCACAAATTCAATGAAATATTACAATCGGTTTTTATACTAATTTAAGTAATGTATTAAACGATGAATCGTTGAATGCGCCTACGCAGGATGACTGACAAACTCATTAACTTATTATTTTATTATTCCCTAATGAAAAACTGCTTAAAATCATTAGCTGTGAATGCAACCCTCTACACGTTGCTGTACGTCACCATCTTGCTTATGTCGAAAACTGAGCACTATCCTTCTAGTCAGGTTTTCAGTTCCCTGAGTAATGTTAATTAGTGAGGATTCTATACAATTATAACATTTGATTCGATCTTCTGCATTTTTTTTAGGTTAATCTATTATGTACTCTCCACTTAGTGACGTGAAGAATCTCGAAATCTATGCGGAATGAAATTGATTATTCCACAACGGTGTATTTATTTTTGTTTGTTAATATCTGCTAAGGTGTAGTATGTTTACCCACGCACTGTTACTGAACTATACGATTGAATTTTGGTCCCAGACTGAAGAAATTTTCCTTTTTAAATGAGGAATGTTTCCACGAGCCCTCTTTGAAAATATATTTCTACCGCGAAATTTAACTTAAAAAGTTGTATTAACTGGCACCTACACGTAAGCAAAATAATTTGTAATTTACTTTTTAAATAAGAAGGAAGTTTAAATTTGGAAGGAGACACGCTAGGTTTCGTGCAATTTGTTTATTAACTTCTACAAAACAATTCATTCTCCGATAAATTAAATTCAGTGTCCGACTGCACACTTGTGTTAAACTTTTAGTCCGTTGCAATTTGAGTTCTCATACCACATTTCAAGTTATCGATCTTATATAGCTTATTTCTTTGTACTACACAAACGTTTAACACCGTTTTGTGGTAAAAACTCGTAACATTTCGGTCAATCGTGCGCCAGCGAATTTTTATATTTGCAATAGTACTTAAAGTACTTCCTACACGTCTTATTTTGGTATCGTTGTGTAAAGAAAAGAAACCATTACTCGATGACACGTGTGGATTAAAGGGAAGAGGTCGCGTTTGGTAGAACAATTGCACCATTACATCGTAAGACCTCCGGTGGATGAATCATATGTTCAGCTCCCTGGACGTGTGATGTGTGAATAAATATATGTTGAGTATATGCTTACATATATACAGTATCATGTTGCTCGCACTTCCTCTGCCGCGGGCACAAGACATTTCACATACCCCGTTGCGGTTGCGGCGCCAATATATTCATCCCAAAAGTATTTAAATTTCAGAGTACTTCCCTGATGGTAGTCGATAAATTACGTAACGCTAAAGAGAGGGAAGGGGATTGAGACTGAGTTGCACTGCATTGCACAGCAGCAGGGGGTGTTGATGTAGTATTACGTAACGCTATAATTTTTTAATCATTCGCTGAAATTATTTTTTATCCACTCTTAACCTAAAACATTAATTATTAACAAATTAAATTTAAAATATAAATAAACTAAAATCATTGGTAAATTGTTGCTCTCAATCAAAATTTTTTTGAATAGTATAGAGATTCAATCTGTTAGATTACGAGGAATATATTCAAAACTGATCAGCTGAACTTTCTTGGAACCCAATTAAATTGGTACAATGAACTGACGCCGCTTATTGTCAGAAATTATGTTGCCTACGTGTTTTATATTCACAAAGAAAATGTACATAATCTTACTGATAAGTGCAACCCATTTCGTCAACTAATTCTGACTTTAATTATCAATACTTTTAATGTATATATCACAAAGAAAATTAATACAAATTATTTTGCTATTATATAATTTATTTTTACTTTAGTAAATCAGGGGGTCGTTGCAAGCGTTGTGTAATTATTTACGGGCTTTCAAGCGGCGTTCCGGGTGCGTTGCAGGGGGGGAGGAGGAGGAGGTATTTGCTTCACACGCGCGAGAGCGTACCGATGCCGTTGAGCGCCTCGTACTGGCGCAGGAAGCAGGCGTTGCCGAAGCTGAGGCGGTCGCCGTCGGGCGCGCGCGCGCACACGGGCGCGTAGCGCAGCGCGCAGTCCGGGCCCTCGCCCAGCGCCGTCGCGCTCCTCGCCGCCCGCGGCGCTGCCAACCCCCGCCGATTGAAACATTGTTGTTAATGGTTCCGAGCGCTTCGCCTACTAGGGTCAGTAGTCCCGTAGGAGTTGAGCGTGTTTCTGCGCGGGACGTCGCGGTGGTCTTGCCTCGCTTTAGGCCGAGAACCGGCGCCGACCCAACGTAGGCTAGCGGGGTTTTCCCTAGCCAGGTATCTCCCACCAGCGAGAAACCGACCGAGCCCGAAAAAGCTCTAAACTCCCGACCGGTCTCCCCTGCATGGGTGCTTGTGTAGTGCATTTTAGTGTGTGTGTGTGTAAGGGGTGAGATAGCGACAAGGAATAGGTAGGAAAGATCGCGCGTGGTCCGCGAGTTAGGGGACTGCTTCAGCATTCGCCTGGTGTTTACTGGAGAAACCACGGAAAATTACTGATCAGGGCAACCAACCGCTAAAATGTTCCTCTAGACCGGCTGAATTCGATCTAGCTAACAAGTGGTTGTCGAAACTCCTGACACCGTCGGGACTCGGACCTCCGTTAATCGCAGGGACAGAGGTCTGGATTGTATGTAGGGTGACTATAAACTCCCACTTGAATTTCTGCGAGATTGCCATGTTAGTGTCAGCCGTTTGAGGCCTGTGGGGTCAATGCTCCACGACAATGCAAGGTCTCGTTTGGCCATCACACTTACGGCAACTTGCAGAAATTCAAGTGGGAGATCGTCGGTCACCCCGCAATCCAGACCCCCGTCATTCAAGTCCAGACCTCACTCCCTCCGCATTCGCCCTTTACGCTACATTTTGGACCTTAAAAGCAAATGATTCACTTCGGACGACGACGGCGTTTAGAACGCGTTCACAACGCAGCCCCCAATTTTACGATAGAGCCAATCACCACCTTGTGTCGCAGAGGGACTAGTGCCGCAACAGCCAGAGCGAATACGTCTGTCATACAGGTACTGGTATCCGGTTGGTTTTTTTGATTGCTCCTTATACAAGTTGTAGTAAACCATGAAGCTTTGTATGCATCATGGGCGATGTTTATATTTTTCCCCTCTGGCGAATTTCAACCCCTCGATCCAAAGGCAGTCGAGCTTGGAAGCCCCCCTTTTGGCAAAAATATCTCTCTAACGCCGAAGATACATAATACCTTTTTTTAAATGTTTGTAATCTAACACATATCTAATTTTAAGAGTGACATTGGTGTTACTTCAAAAACTAATATGCTAATTTCTCAAATTATTGGCAAACCCTAATTGTGACAAAATGATTGAAACCTTGATTTTATTACTAACGTTCATAAATTGTGTACAAGATTCCTTATGTTAATTTAAACTGTATGTCATATTCTATTTATCTAATGTAATCCTATCAAATCTACGTCCTGTAATATTGATAACTTACATCTTTTGTTTAACTTCTTTTCTGAATATAGCGTTCAACTAATTCTACTATTAATACTACACATTATGTTGTTATATTTCAAATTGTGTTTTCCAATATTAACTTGTGAATCACAGGTTTCATTGATACTCGCCTTTTGCTTGGCTATAAAAACATTTGATTCGTAGTTATTATTATTATTATTATTATTATTATTATTATTATTATTTTTATTATTATAATTTGTATAATTACCACAATAGGTGGCTCAAGGCAACAAATGATGTCATTGCAGTGCCTTCGATCGGGAGGTCCTTGTTTAGACTTCCGACGGCGGTAGAATTTTTGACACTAGTCACCACTAGTCAGTTAGGTCAGATTCAGTCGCTGTCTTTAGAGAAATTCTAGTGACCAGCTTCTCTGATCGGTAGTTTTTCATTGGTTCTCAATCAACCCCGGAGCAGTATCCTAACAAACGGGCCGCACGCTATAATTTTTTCCTTTTCCTTGCCTATTCCTCACCCCTTACTTCCACACACTTATAATTAACATCCACTATACTACCACACATTTCGGGAGACCGGTCGGGAACATAGAGCTTGTCCCGCCCGGAGTGCTACCCCGCTGGACGGAGATACCTAGTTGGGGAAAACCCCGCTAGCCGGCGGTAGGTCGGCGGCGGATCTTACCATCAGCGTGGGAAGATCACCGCTTCCTCCCAGGAATAACATGCACTACTTACGGCACTAATGACCTTAGTATTGGCCGCGCTTGGAGTCGCTAACATTCAATCCGTCAATGAATTATTTTCATTATTAATAATTATTATTATTACTTACCAAGCATTATGAGTAAAATCAGGTAGCGCATGTTGATGGAACGCTGTCACGTACGTAACTGACTATTCACTCGTGTAACTACACTTTACACGCATCTAAAAGTGTGGTTGGATCAACATGGAAAGTTCCTTTCTTTATGTAACTCGCATTTTACTAATCGAAACATCTGCACGGAGCCTGCTGCGTCAATATCGGCACTCTGAATAAATACGCCCGAAAGTTATTAGCAGGAAATTAATGAAGCATTTCAGTTTTCTCCGTTCCCATGTTAGATGTTGGGATGATCCTTGTGGAGAGTAAAATGTATGAAAGTTCCAAATGTTGGTGAAAATTCGATATTGTATATAATACACGCGGTGTTACTCTAGAGGTGCATTTGTGGGAGCTACGAAACTTTGAGTCAAATAAATCGCTTTGAGGACGATATTAAATATTATACACGTTCTATGGGCTTGTTTTAATACATTTTCATTTCAGCAAAACTTGACAACTCTTCCTTATCAATAAACCAACTTAACGTTTACACGCGCTTTTATATTTTGTAATAATCCGTGCACTGTTTATTCCTCATTGAATTACCTGGTAAGTTATCGTGTACAAGCTGAAGTA